GGCAGGACAAAGATCAGTAAGGTCACTCCACCTGAAATCTTTAGTGAGAGAATGGACTGTCGTTTGAAACTGAATTGCTGTTATTAGCACCTCAGGAGTGTGGTGGTTTTGGTGGGTGGGTTGTTTGGGTTTCTTACTTTGAAAAGTAAAGTGCTTGCACTTCACCATGCATTGGATTAGATTAACACTTCTAAAGGCAATCTTTAATCAAGCATTTAATTCTCTGTTTATTCTGTGTGCTCTCCAGATCATTATCTTTTGTGTCTAGACTATAACAGGGCATCAGTCTGGTAACTGACTATATAATGCACAGAACTGTATATACATCAACTCTGTAGAAAATTTAATACTTAGTACAGCTCTTTGAGCATTGTGATAAGCATATTTTATAAAGGTGTTTAAATTTCACTAGTGGCAATGCTGATAGAAGAGTACTAAATATTGAGTTACTTCGGATTGAATCCAGTTAGTGGGATCTTTGCTGATTTAAGGCAGAAAGACTTAATTTGCAACACTGTGATGTGTAAACGTTTCTTACAAATCATTTGTGGTGAATTCCCTTACCGTGGGCAATCAACAACCTGATTGTTCTTACCAATCATTTCTTTGTCTTAGCTAGACACTTATTTTACTTCTTACTTTGTAGAGTTAAATGAGCGTTATAATGAAGTATGTACTTCTTTTCTTTTGATGGGGGGTCAGGCACATGGATCCACCCACAAGGAGAGTGGTAGAGCCAGCAAAAGACCATAATGGAAGTGCAAGGGCAATATCTGGAGCAAAGTAGGAAAGGGTGACAAAGACTGTTTGTTCAGCAGTGAAGTGCTGAGTTGAATGCTCAGCTATCTAATCAATTTTCAGGAAGCCCAGTAATGCTGACAAGTTTTGTGTTTTTTTCCATGGCTTGATCATCTGATACAAATATTCCATTTTGAGGAACTAGATCTCGTTCATTTCAGTATTGAAGGCAAGATACATAACAAAAGGCTGTTACCTTGGCTTTTTTAATACTCTAAGATTGTAACCAGTTTCTGGTTGTTACTGAAGCAAAATTAGGTCACAAGGAACTCACCAATGTGCTTGGACTTAGCAGGTGGAAGAGGGGAAGTGTATCCCAGTACATGCCATCTTATGCAAGCTGCTCTACTGTAACTTTTATGCTGAAAACTCACTCCAGAGACTTTGGAGATTAATGATGGCATGCATTTCTGAAAGACCCTGTACCTCATTGCTAAATGTCATATAGAATTGGATTTTAAATTTATCAGTTCCTCCATCTTGCCTGATGATCAGGAAAAACTTCTTTACCTGTGGTCAGGCAYTGGACCAGGCTGCCCAGGGAAGTTGTAGAGTCACCATCTCTGGCAGTGCTGAGTTAATGGTTGGACTCAATGATCTCAGAGACCTTTTCCAACCTAAATGATTCTAGGTTTTCTATCCTGTATTTCATTGCAGCCATGACTGCAGGCATTTTTTAATATCAAGCAGACATCACCTTAGATGCAACAGCTGAAGTCTGCCCAACTGCAAATAAGTAACCCTTCTGGTTTTGCCATTTTTCATCAAAATGTGACTAATTGCTTTAGATTAATTAGTTTGCATGTTCTGCCTCAGTGGTTGTGAAAGTGCATTTGTTTCTCCAGTTAAAAGATTCATCAGAGCACTGACTCTCAGCCAAGCTGGTCAGTGCTACTTTGAGCAGTAGGATACAACCTTGAAGTCACATGTTACAGAGTTCTGACAAAAAAAGCTCTTGATATTGTCTAAGCAATAGGCTGAGAAATTTACAAGTGTTGTTACAGAAGGGGAATTCCTATTTCAAAAAAGTTACCAATACAGTTTTTCAGGTCTATTTATTACAAACCAGGTTTCTAAATGAATCATATGCAGAAACTTAAATATCAGCTGAAACAGTACCTTTTTTCTTTTCCCTTTTGCATGTGTTGTATGGGCTTGAAACCCACTCACTAGCAAATGTCCTGTAAAGAAGAGAAGTCTGTTTCCATGCAGGTTCTTTCATTTTCTCAGTGTTTATATGCTATATGGTTTTACAGTAAGAGAAACTCTCAAAAAGCATTGGATGGACTAAAAGAAGAGGAATGAAGATAAATCTAATGAAAACCAGTACAGAATTTGCCTCATTGAATGCAGAAACCTTAATATGGTAGTGGGCTAGACCATCAGCAGGAAATTTTAACTATGCAATCACAGCACATTAGAGTATTTCTTTGGAGTAGTATTTTCTTAGAATCAATTGAAAAACAAAAGTTACTGGGAACCATGAAGAATAATGCATTTTRTTATTCTACACTTAATCACTTTCCTTTTTGCTTCAGTCCTTTCTTTAGCAAATTCAAATCTTTAGAAAAATAATTTTCTTGTACTGCTATAAAACGTCCATATTTCCAAAGCACAGAAATGATGTTATATTTATGATAAACTGTCAAGTGTCACTATTGATGGTCAGATCCAGCTATGCTAAATCATCATCCTGGATGTACATTTGCATTTGTTATTTTGTTGACATGCAACATTTTCAATGCAGTAATAGCTGTTAGTTTTTCTAGATCATCCAGGGGATTCTTTTCCATATTTGGTGGATGTGKTTTTTTCTGTTTTTGCATTCTAAAGCAAATCCCATCCAGTGTGATTTTTCCTCTTGATTCAGAATTAATAGTAAGGAGACTAAATAAGACTAAATAAATAGTTTCTGCAATACCATTTGATGTAACATCCCAGCCTAAGGAAGTTTCTGTCAGCATTGTCCTGAATGTTGTCAGATGTGCCAGGGGTTGAACACCAGAAATTTGCTTGCCCCAGTATTAGAGATGTTCATCTCTATCAGCAGCAGTGCAAATTCACATCTGGAAGAAGTGAGTGATAAGCAAAGTATAGCTACAATAATATGTAGGCTGGAGAAGCTCATTCCTTTCCAGTGTCATTGCTGACATGGGTAATTTTGTTGTCATTTTTGCAATTATTCTGCCAGCACAAGGTCTTTTAGGTGCAAGTTCTTCTTGGAATTGGTGCATAGGTGTGATGTTTTATTCCCCATTCCATTAAAAACAGTTAAAATTGGGACATTATTTTCTATTTCAGTCGTTAAGGGGGTTTATGAACCTGAAAACTCCAGASAATTTCCTTGTCTAAAACCACTTTCAAGTCATGAATTTTCTTCACCAAAGAAAATTAGTGTCAAGATTTAAGACATAATCTTGGATTAGTCTATGATTTCTGCAAATCTGGGGTATACGTAAGAAAGTAATCTCTCCAGCTACCGTTTCAGGTGCTTCACTTTGATATAATTTCTTTCAATAAGAAAGAAAGAGACAAATAAGATCTATTAAATCCTAAAACTTTGGCATCCTTTGCCTCTTTTTCTGTAGAGATAGGAGGCATGTTGCTGGCTAGGGAGTGAGTGTATGGTGAACAGAATTCAACATGGAATGCCTCTTGGCTGACTTCAGTCATCTGTGGTGYAGGCATCCACACTGAAACCATAGGGCACTGTATTGAAAATACACTGAGCTGGAAAGGGGGAAGTCAGTTTTCATTACTTGGAGCAAAGCACTATGTGGACTTAAATACCAACATTTGAAGGAAATCCCTTCTCTTAATAAGATGTCTTGTCTGGAAACCATTATAGGACAATAAATTTTGTTTGCTTTCCAACAAGATGACTACAGAGGTCTGTGGTGCTCTTTGCAGCAATATCAAGACATCAAGACTTAAATCCTGTTGCAGTCAAGAGACTTCATTGCTAAGCTGAGAAGGCTGCTGCTGTGCTTTACACTTGGAGAATTAGGAGGGTTTGCTTTGTAGAGTTCAAATTAAGAAAGAACTTGCAAGACACTAACAGTGAATAAATTTAAGAATGGGTAAAGGATAAGGGCAGATTACCATAGGTGACCTTTAGTTCYCAGGCTGCCTCCTAGTAATCGGCTTTCCCTCTACATTGACAGTCATCCTTTGGGTTCTTTTGTTCTGTTTTGTTTCTCTCTTTATGACTTCAGAATAATGGCACTTAAAGCCATTTTAAATACGAATTCCCAAAAGTTAACCAATTTTGCCCAATAAGTCTAGCTACTGCTTTGCCTTAGTGTGTTGTGTGAAGTATTATCCCAGGAAAAGGTTTTCAGAGGTAAGGTAGTACAGAAAAGGAGCAGGTCTTTGTATCAAACGTTTATCAATCAAACTTAGCTCTGAAAATCTCATCTTTCTGAAGAATTGCAGTGGGAGATGTTAGATTCCTGGGAATCCTGGACTGTGTTTTTCTTACCTGTGTTGAGGGTTAGCTGGCTGATGAGCCAACACCAAGATTACAGAGAAGTCAGGGCTAGTTTCTGTAAAATATGATGAGAAATGTAGACAAAATAAATAAACGTTCTGCAAAGAGCTATAAAATTAACTGTAAATAAATGTTATTTTTTTTCTACAACTATCTTATTTTTTCCACAGTGTATTATTTTGTTGGTAATGAAGTATGAACTATTCCAAATATGGGAGTCAGCACTTAGTATACCTAACAGTAAATACCAGAGTTGCTGTAGTCAGTGTACCTTTACATTATTTGGATTCTGGTTAGTATGTTTTGAAATTATTTGAACTTAATGGATGACATTGTTTCTGCTCAGCATGACATGAAATTAATTAAATATCAGAATAGCACCCGCTCTTCGGATTTATTATTCAAACATCATGTCCAGTAACACAATGTTTGGTCTTGCAATTTTTTGTAATACTTCTTTAAAGTGAACTTACTGAGAGGGCAACTCAGTTTATTTAAACAGATTTAAATGTTCAGAATTGTTCTGAATTGTATTTATTAAACATTTGTTTAATCAGTAGAAGGTTTTATCTGAGATCTTATCTATTGAAAAAAGCAGATAGTCTGTGTTTGGGCATCATATTTACATAAAGAATCTATTCTTCAAATTAGTGCAGGGTTGGCTTTTTTATTTTTTGGGGTTTTACATTTAATCTTCTTTGCTTTCTCATAGGGAGACAATTTTAAGTAAGAACCCTGGATACCTGTTAACAAAAGCAAAACAGAAGAAAAAACGAAAAAGAAACAAAACAATGAAAACTAGTCGCACAGAAATTACGAAGAAAATCTTACATGGAGTAGCTCATTATCCAGTTCCAGATGATCATGATGGATCAGAAAGTGAAGAGGATGATTTGGAAGAAGAAAACAAAAAATCATTGTGTGCATTCAGCAAAGGCCCAGAGGATCCAGTAACAGTTTGTGAAGAGCAGCCTAAGAGTGGTGATGAAAGCCTAAAAGAAGCTGTAGGGATTTCAAGAGAGAGTTTTCTGGTCACTGTGCCTGATGTCTCCTTGCTGTCAAATAATGCAGAGAAAAATGAATTATCTGTAGGAAGTGATAGTTTGCTTTCAAGAGATGTAAAACCTTTTTGTGCTGAAAACCTAACCAAAAATGCATTAGATGATGAGGAAGCAAATCAAAGGCACAAAGACAATCTCTGCAGTTTCCTAAAAATAAGCAATGATAAAAATTCCATCCAGGAAACAGAAGGCATTTCTGAAGACTGTGATATGTCACTGTTAAGCACAGAAAACAAACTGGGATCATGTCAAATTACATGTGAACCTGACTTGGAAGCCAAACAGATAAGATTAAACAGTGAGGAAAAAGAAATCTCTCAGTGTTGCAATTCAAATGTACTTGATAACATGCCTGATAACACAGAGGGCAAAGGTGCAATAAAAGCAGAAGAGACTAGCTCCAATGCCTGTGCTCCTTTTTCAATAAATTCCTCTGCTGAGGAGTTGCAGATGGGCTTCAATACTCAAGTTTCTCTCTTTCCTTGGTCTGAGGATAAATTTGTGGGTGAACAAAGACCTCAAAAAGTGACAAAACCTGAACAGACTCACACAAACAGTTCAGCAGAGCTAAACTGCTATCAGTCAAATGAAGGACTGGTAATGGAAAACCATCATGAAACAGAAATTGAGGAGGATGGTAATGTAAAAAGCAATGGTCTATCTGCATCTCCAACTGGTAAAGTGCACTTCAATTCCCTTGTAGAAGCCAGGGCAACCTCCATGCCGGGTTCAAGTGAAGTAAATGTGCCAAAAAATGATTCTACACCAATTACATTGAAGAGGAAGAAGTACAGGAGAATTGTCAACTTAGCCCCAAAGTTTAATCTACCAAGACAGATTGCTGGTCATACTGAGGGAGGGAAGGAGGTCCTGGTAAGAGAAGATTTTCCCCCCAAAAGTGTTTTGGAAGTGAAGCAAAAGAACTTTCTAAGCAAGAACACTGAAGAGGCACATGAACAGGACCATGCATTAGAGGAATATTTTGCACCTTACACTGATGCTGAGGCAACCTATTCCTTACCCACTCCAGATGCAGATGATCTGTTGCATAGTGTTTCTTTCATTCCGTCAGGACCATGTTGTCSTATATCAAAATGTGCCTGCAGTGTTTGTGTAAATTCCAAAACTAAGGAGGAGCAAGCTACAACTCTTCAGCCACAGCAACTAGTTGATAAAAAAGAGGACGAGGGTGAACACGTTTCTTCAGAGGTTACAAATGGCCAACCAGATATTCTGTCTTCTGTTAAAGTTGTTTCTGAATATCTAGAAGATTCTAATACATTGGCAAGCTGCAGTGAAAATGCAAATGAAGCAGATGACTCTGAGCCAGCAGAGGCCTCACAACTTGAAGATTATCAAGATGCAGATATGAAATGTAGTTTTCTGGGACTTCCCTTATCATTAGGATTTGCTTTTCAACTTGTGCAGCTCTTTGGTTCTCCAGGTCTTCCACTGGGTATAATGCTTTTCTTACTACTCCTATGTAAAAAAAAAAAAAAAAAAAACAAAACAAGCCAACCCCCCAAAACACCACAGCCCCCTCAAAACCACAAACAAAAAATGAAGCACTCCCTTCCAAACCAAAAAACAAACAAAAGGAGTATGGTTAAAAAACTGGTTTTTATTGCAGATCTTAGTTAAATTTTAATCCTGTTTGAACAAATCACTGCAGCTTTGGTGATAGTTTTATTTTAGTTTTCACCTAAAATTCTCAGTCTCTGCCAAAGGGGCTTTTGGTTTGGCTCTGTCTTTTTTTGTGACAAAAATTGACTAACTTTAAATCCAAAGCATGAAATGCTTGTTGACATTTTAGTATATCCTAGTAAGACTTTGCTGTGTTGATTACAGAACTAAACAACGTTTTGATACATCCTTCTGAGTAAGACTTACTGTGATGATTTCGGAACTAAATGAAAATGTGGCACAAAATATGTGCTCTTTAAAGGTTGCGTATTTGGTTTTATATTCCAGAGAGTAACATTCCTTTTTTTAGTAAAGTTCCCATGCACTCCTATGCAGCTTAGATACTGTTAAAAATATTTTCCAAAGTCTAATTTAGCTTAAAATTTAACATCAAACCTACAAGATGTGTTTTCTGATAGTGATTGCCTTTGTTTTAATCATGCCTGATTATGAAGTGTCCTAGTGTTGTATACTTGCCTTCCACAGCTCCAGTTGTCTTATTTTAGTACTTTCAGTTTAGTAATTTTAAGTTAACAGGTAAAAGACGATCAGTCCTCAAAGGAATGTGCATGGCAACCATCATTTCCCAATATAGTGCAGGCTAACATAATGCCACAGAGCTGTAACCAGTAACAACAACAGAGTTTTGTGTTAAAGTCACCCTAGAACACCTGCTGAAAGAGCCATGCTCCCTGTGCATAATGTTCTTCAGCTTCTTGGGCCCAAATTTAGTGGAGAAACTGTAGACTTCATTTAGATAACAAATAGGATTAAAAAACATAGACTGGCTTTTCATTATATAGACCTTTACATCTGTTTCAGTAGAACTTAAAGTTAAGCATGAATTTTCATATGAAAATTTGAATCTGACAACTGAGGAGCAGCTTATGTCTGTTTATCTGCCCAAATTGATGTAAGAATTCTTTGTTTTTTTAAAAAAAAAGTTAATGGYAATGCTACCTGCCAGAACAGTGATGCAAATCATAGGAAGCATTACTTTGCTTGGTTCCTAAAGGACCTGCAGTGCTGCTTTATCTAAATCTGGCACCACACACCAAAGAATTTTTCATACAGAGCTGAAATTAAGCAAGTAAGTACTGTTGATGTCCTCAAGTGCTATATATAAAACATTTTTCTTCTCCAAACTTGGTGAAACTTCATATTTGTGGTCTTAAATTTCATAGTCTTAGAGGGAGTTGGCTGCCACTTGAAAACACGGATCTTCCAAGAAAGAAAAAGGAARATCAGGCATTCAGAAGTACTGAGTAGGTTAGTGAACCAAATATCATTCTTCTCTGAGTCAGTAACAGATGACATCCTCAGGAGTTTAGATGAGTTTCCTCTGGAAATAACCTTTAAGAAATACAAACCCACTCCAGTGTCTCTCTGAAGCTCTGCCAGCTTGTGGTTGCTGACTGCTGGGGTTTTCCTATCAGAATTGTGCCTAGCTGGCCACATTCTCCTTTATTATTATTATTATGCTACAATTTCAAAAATTATCTGATTTTACTGGTTTGTTTTTGTGGCATGCTGGATATTGACAGGCTACTATTTATTCATGCACACATTTGAGCAGAATTATTTTACAACACTAAGAATTGCAGTCAATTTTTATTGAAATTATTCTGGAGGGGATATTTTTGGTAAATAAATGTCTTTAGTTGTTTATAAATGAACAGTTTAGTTGAATGTCTTGCTTGTCTGATTCTCCTATAAGTGTAGAACATATTTAATACAGTTTTCCTACAAAGAATCTCTTTTCAGCTTCTTAAACAGTGTTAGAGCTTAAAGCATTTTAGGAAATAACTTCTCTAGTGATACCACATAAATTCTTATAATTACGCATTTTAAAATGTGAATGTTGTTATTTAAGTTCCATTTCTTTTAATCCCTTGGCTTTGTTTTTCTTGTGTGTGCATACTTTTAGGTGAGTATGTGGGGCAAATGAAAGTATGGTAGGAAAACCTTTGTCTAAATAAAGAAACCAAACCCAAATCTCCTTCCCACTCTTTCCTTCTTTCCCTTCCCACTTTTGCCCTTCTAAGGCACTAGCCTTAGATTCTACAAATTCTAAATTCTGGGTTTGCTGCTAGCTCATTTAAATATCTGCTTTTTAATATATATATATATATATAATGTGCAAAAATTGTAACTCAGTGATATATTTTGGCTGTGGAGAAATCTGAGCACTCAATTGCAAAAAATATTTTCTTCTGCAGAATCCTTGTTGCCAGATGATTATATAGTTCCCCTTGACTGGAAAGTTTCAAAGATGATCTATTTACTGTGGAAGACCTCTGTGGAGGTATGAATTTTAGGGGATTTTGGAAGGTTTTCCAATATTTCAGGTGCCAAGAGGAATTATTCAGTTCTTTATTAGTAAATTTGCTTTAATACCCACAATGAGGAGATGGATGTTTTATGTACTCCTCTGAATATTTCTAGAACCAGCTCATGGCTGTRGTAGAATCCAGGTTTTGAAAGATCAGCTTCAGAAGTGTGTGCAAAGTAGTTCAAAAAGGGAGAAAAAGTTTTGATACCTGTGTCTTGACCTGGCCTATTTTCATTAAGTACAAGCTACCATGATTCAGATGTTTTCCTTCTTACAGTTTTGTCTCATCATCTGAGCAAATCTCATCCTCCATCACCTCTGCTAGAGTTGCAGAAGAGAAGTTATTCTGCCTTGACTGTAGGCTAATTAATTCTCTTTATCTAGTTTTAAATTGTTAACTTACAAAAAAGTTTTTCCTTGTCTGGTAGTGGAAATCAGGAAAATCCTGTAAATACAATGAACTAGTAATTATAAAATAAAGCATGGACTATGTTCTTGCCCAAAATAACGAACTCTCTTGTCACATGCTTTCTTTTTGCTGGACTGTTGTTATCTATTTAGGAAAAACAGAAAACAAGTGGATTGCAGAATGGAGACAGCTTGACTGGTAAGTCTATTCTGTGATACAAAACCATATAAAATTCTTCTTATCAAAGGGTTTTTCAAYACCAGTGATTGATAAGACTCCTCTGTGGAGTAGGATGTAGCAGTAGGATGTCATAAATGAATTTGTATCACCATTGATCATGTACATGGTATGACAGAGCTATGGTCACTGTGAATCACCACTTCACGTTTCCTGATCTGAGTGCTAAAATCGCCTTATAAAGTTCCCCATATGGAATTATTCCAGTATTAGCTCAAGTTTATCCATTCCAGATTAGAATGATGTTTAGCCTTTCTGAAATAGTCTTTCTTGAGACTTTACTTCCCTGAAAGGTTTAGTATCTTCAAGTTAATTAAAATTCATTATCACTAAAAAATGTCAACATAATAATAGAATCATGGAATTATTTAGGTTGGAAAAGACCCATAAGATCATTGAGTTCAGCCATTAACCCAGTACTGCTCAAGTCCACCACTGAACTATGTCCCCAAGTGGCACACCTACCTGCTTTTTGAACAATTCCAGGGATGATGATTTCACAACTTCCCTGGGCAGCCTGTTCCAATGCCCAGCAACACTTCCAGTGAAGAAATTTTCTAATATCCAGTCTAAACTTCCCCAGTACAACTGGAGGCCATTTCCTCTTGTCCTGTCACTGTTTGCCTGAGAGAAGAGACCAACCCCCACCTTGCCACAGCCTCCTTTCAGGCAGTTGTGGAGAGTGATCAGATCCCCACTGAGTCTTCTCCAAACAACCTCAGTTCCCTCAGCAACTCTTCATCAGCCCTGTGCTCCAGATTTTTCCCCAGCTCTGTTGCCCTTCTCTGGACATGCTCCAGCCCCTCAATGTCGTTCTTGTAGTGAGGGGCACAGAATGGAACACAGCACTCAAGGTGTGGCCTCACCAATGCCGAGCACAGAGGGACAATCACTGCCCTGGTCTTGCTGGCCACACCATTGCTGATCCAGGCCAGGTTGCCATTGTCGTTCTTGGCCACCTGGATACATGCTGGCTGAGCCAGTGTGTTCAGCCACTGTCAAATAGCACCTGAGGTCACACACACCTTAGGAGTAAGAGATATCAGAATTCATGTGAAGCTCTGGACTTCTGYGTGCATTAATTCCCTGCAGTATGGAGGTTATGGGATAAGATTGCTCATTGTCTTTTTCCATAATTTCCATATTAATGCAGTATGATTTCATGTGTTCCATAATGAGTTTAAAAATACACAATAGTAGTTCCCTGAAAGCTGGTAGAACTTGCTGTCTGAAATAGTAGAGAAGCTTCTTTGTTTTAGAAAAAAGTGTGCTTTTGGAGAGGCAGCAAAAGACTGAGAATAGACACACACGTGCATAGGTGTTGCCTCTCACTCCCCACCTGCCATGAGCTACAAAACTGAAAGATTTCATTTGTTTTATAGGCCATTTAGGAGGCAAAAATCAAGAGGATTTTGATGAAATGAAAGCTTGTTCTAGAAATACTCTATCCTCCCACAACAGAAAGGACAGACCACATAAGGTAATTATAGGTGTCTTTGAATTTGGGCCCAAGAAGCTGAAGAATATGTAATTTCTTTATTTTTTAGATGGTATTATTAGTCTTGAAGATCTAAATGAAAAACACCAAGAGAGTCAAGACTCTTCTGAAATAGTAGACATGGAACTGTGTCAAGATATGATAGAGGAGAACATCATAACCTATACTGGCTGTCTGGATAACTGACTGTCTTAAATTCTACATGAACAAACAGGTAATCAGTCATGTTGTGAATATTGCACCCTTCTATTATATTTGACCAAATATCTAAAGAACATTGTTTGTTATAATTTTTAAGGTGTATTTAGTATCCCCCAACTTACTTGGTTGAGGGTTGTTTGGGTTTTGTTTTCTTTCAAGCCTGAATGGGGAAAAGAGAAGGCAGTATTTCATTATTAAAGGCATATAATTTTAGTTTTTCCACTGAAATCTAAAACATGCATGGTGAAGTGAAAGCAGCAGGGTAGAATGCCTAAGAGCTGGACTTTATTCCCGGTTTGGTTGCTGTGGCAATCTGTTGTGAGTCATCACAGACTTATTTTCCTTGTCCTTTCAGCACAGAGAGTAATGCTGGCTCCATTAAGGGTCTAATGAAAAGAACTGYATGAGTACTAAAACAGTATTTCACCAAGTTATGAAAAGGTGGCTGTTCTGCTTTTCAGAGCAGAATCAGTAGCAGGAGGTCACAATAAGACTCCATATATGGAATTGTTAAGTTTTCATTAATGTTTTCATTAATGTTTCATTTGGTGTGACGAAAGTGTGCCACTGAGTATTAGAAAGTATGCTATTGTGTTTTTGCCTTTTGAACTCTTTGGTCACTTGGCAACATTTCTTTGGTTTGTTTATGAGAGATATTATGGGAAAATTGTGATAAGAAGGGAGGATTATGGGTTCCAGCAGGAAAATGCCAGCTTAACTTCTCTACCACTTGCAATCAATTGTTCTCTCCAAAATGGAAAATGGATTAATCTGTAGTTTTTAAACAAATAAACTGAGGTACATGGAAATAGAAGAACTTGCACCATGAGTAAACTGAGCCAGAAAAARGATCCCATATCCTGAGGCTTAAATTATTCCCATCCAGACATCCCAAGACTTGCTGGAATATCATCCACATGGGATCTGATCAGGGGGCCTTTGTCATCTGGTGCCCTGTGCCAAGAGGCAAGAGTCAAGGAGGTGAATGTGCACTGTGTTGGGACTGTCATAAACATGGAGCTTTTCACTGTGGAGGTTCATGTCAGAGGAGAGGTAGTTGAATAATTTGGGTTGGAATTGAAACCTCTTGAATGGGGTGTCATTTAATTACATGTCAGTGACAAAAATGACTCGTCCTGACTCGATGTTCATGTGGGTTTGTATCTTAAGCTATCATCCAAAAACGTCCAGGTTATTGATTAAATGTTTGTATGCTAAAGAAACAGATACAAAGAGCTCCTGCCTTATTGTCTGTACCTTTATCTGGTTGCTGAATCCAACTGTTTTTTTCCATCAGATTTACTCCCTTTGTCTGCCTGCTTTGCTACTCCCAAAGTTGTTTCAGTCTTCCCCWCCTGCTTGTCACGAACACAGCAGAAGTGACCCCAGAGCCCTGTGTGTTTGTGACCCAGATACTGTCTGCTCTCAGGAAACCCCAGTTTGTTATGTGATGTTGCAGTCTAATACTCTGCTGTGTCAGCTTGTGTTAGTTCTGTGGGATAGAGAATGAGAGCAATATAGACTTTGCCATGAAAGAACACTCCCTGTCTGGGTTTGGCTTGTGAAAAAGGCCTTGCACTGTCTCTGCAGGACTTGATCATTGAGATCTTTGCTGGAATGGGGCAAATTCAGTTGGAGCTTTTTACTGGAAGAAGGAGGGAAGTTAATCAGGGGCTTTTGTGGAGGTTTTGTTTTGCTTTGTTTTAGTTCAGCATCAGAAATGAGTCAGGGAAAGTCCTCAAGGCTGTTGGAGGGAGAGGATGAGATGCCAGAGGTCAGATATTTTTCAGCTGCTCTGTAGCTGTGATTTGCCACCTCAGGCCAGGCTGATGCAATGGGTTGCTGCTGCTTAAAGTGTGAAGTGCCCTTCCTCCTAGCCCCATTCCAAATTGCAGCTCCAGCACTTGCTAGCTGACATGAAGGCAATAATTCAGCTCACTAACCCCACAGCAAACAAATCGATACTTTTCTGCTGGACTGAGGAATGTAGATAAGCTGCTATAAGGTCCAGCTCCGTGCCAAAGCTGGGGCAAGGGAGCAGATGAGGTCGTGCTGCTGCAGATACGAGGAGAGGGTGATCAGGGCATCCTGTCTGGGCAGCAGTCAGCTCTGATATCAGGGGCCATGTGTTCTGCAACCAAACCTTCAGGTGAAGGACTGCTTTTAAGCTTTTACAAATTCAGGATGTTAAAAAAAAAACAAACAAACAAACAAACAAAAAAAAACAAACAAAAAAAACAAAAAAAAAATCCCCAAACTAAACCAAAAGAGGTATGTCGAAAGGAAAAAGCATCTCTTAGGGTTTTCAGTCAGCTCATACTCACTGTCAGGCACAGGATATTGGGTAATGCAGACCCCTGGCCAGACCTCACATGAATATTCCAGTGCTCCTCTGAAGCCTGCATGTGTAGGCATTGTAAAAAGACAAGTGAGTTTTCCTGATCAATGGTGCCACCAGCTTTGAGGGATAAAGTTGTCTTGCCTCATCACAAAATAATTCTCCTCTGGTTGCTGATTAAAGCAGACTTGCCAAGAATAATGTCCCAGAGTGATTGTAAAACTGCTCAAGTGAACAACTGTAAGTGTTGAAATGGATTTGATTCCTTCAAATCTCAGGGAGAAAATAAAAAAGTGGGAAAATTGAGACATTCCTACTGAAAGTTTTTAAAATAATAAGAAATAAAGGGAGAACTATTACGATCAWTTTAGTCCATTTAGATTGAAAAGTAAACTGAGCATTACTAGCCASGTGCAACTTAATCTGTCAGCCAGCTGATCATGCTTTTGTGTTCATGTTGTGTTAGGATGATTTTATTCCAATGGAAGGATGAACAGCGATGGTGTTCCTCTGTGAAAATACAGGGTTAATCTCAAGTTTTTGTGAGAGCTCCTTATTGCAGCATTGGCAGCACATCAGTATTTGTTCTGGAGATTAAACAAGAGTTCCCAGTTTAAGCAATATTGAGATCAGTGAAAACAGCATTATTTTGGTGCCTAGAAGTTCTCCTCAGACTAGGACTCACAAATGCCAGGTGCAATACAAATGTGTCAGTTTAAGCATTTGTCTGCAGGACTACTGCCAAGTCGAAGCTGGCATGTTTCTTTTTGAAACACAGCAGTCAGTAACTCTGCAGGAGCACTTCTTCCACAACAGCCTGGAAGGGTGTGGTTTTGATGAGACAAATCTCTTGATGCCCTGTGTTATTGCTCCCCCTTTCCCTGGCTGAGCTGTTCCCAGCACTTCCCTTTGTGCCTCCTGCAGCCACAGTGAGGCAGTTCAGCCCTAACATCCAATGCATGAAGACATCCAAAAAGGTTTTTGGTCTGGACTATGGAGCTGAAACAAATTGTCCTAGAGCCCATTAGATCAGCAGCACATGGACAAAAAAGCAGGAACATATAGCCAGGAGAGGTAGGACTGGTTTTTGGCTAACATGAAAATATTAATCTGAAAGATACAAAGCTGACTAAAGCAGTCTTCCATTATAACATTCCATGTTTAAACCTCTTCCAGCTGCTGACTTTGATACACAGATAACAGTGAATCAAGTCAATCCTGACTTTGATACAGATAATAGTGGATTTATCTGTCCTTTGACATTTAACCACTAATATTAAACCAAATGAAGTCTGAAAAAGTGCACAGATTTGTGGCTAGAAAACCTCCCCTGCCTTTTACAGTCCTTACCGGGAAAACCTGAACCAAAAATCACTTAAGCAAAGAGTCCAGTTACCTGGGGGAAAAAGAGCCACCCACAGCAGTGTTTCTGGTGCTGTCAGGAAAGAGTAGCCATTTGGTTCTGGGGGTGCCTCACAAAAACTCTGCAATGTGGAGGTCTGTGAGGTCCTGAGTGCATGTAACAGGGGAAACAACTCACATTGTAACAAAAAAAAATTAAGATGTAGCTGTACTGCGGTGGTATTTTTTTGAACAGCTATTCATTATGTAAGGTTTGTGATGTGTAGAGAAAAAAATCCACGGTGTCACTCTTCTCCTTATTTCTCAGCTTTAAGATTGTAAGGTTCTTACTGCCTCTAGTATGGACATTCAAGTTCTTACCTTCCTCTTCCATTCTCCTTGTATTTATTTATTTTTCCTTTGTTTTCCACTGACTGCTTTCTTTCCATTCCTTTTAACTTTTTAAAGAAATAACCAACAGCTGAGTATTAGAGACTTTAGAAAACACTGGACAGGTGAACTCTTCTTAGTCYGAGGGTTGGATTTACAGCTGTGAAGTCTTTTTGCAGTCTGTGCTTTGTGGTACTTCAGCAGAACCTCTTCTTTTTTATTTCAGAAACTTCTTGTTTTGATTCCACCGTGGAAGGACTTCAGTTGGCCACCAAGGATTTTAAATATGAGGGATAACCTGGAAAAAAAGAAACTACTGTAGATCTTTTTTGGTGTACATCTTTGGCCATTGCCCCCCCCCCATTTCACCCTGATATCAACCTTTCTTGTCCATGTAATAATGATCAAAATTGTGATAACTTGTGTGTGGCAAAAGGTCATTTTCTGAAGCCATTTGGGATTTACACTTTCTCAGTACATCCTCAAGTGGGGTATAAAGATATTGAGAGTGAACACCAGAGGCGTCTGTTGCCATGAGATACGAGCTTCAGGCTCTGGTATTTAATTGTATAATTGGTATTTACTGGTATATTATTGTGTCAGGATCCAAGCTGTTGCCACAGGAGCAAACAGTGATGCTCATCCACAGGGAAAGGTGCTTTGCTACATGTCCTAGCCTGCTTCTGCCTTCACCCTCACCCAAAATTACACCCGGTCCCTTTACAACCTCAAATGGAAAAAATCTTCATCCGTCATTCCTATTCACGCATCCAAAGGTTCACAGCTTACTTTTTTTTTCCCTGAAACCAGGTTTTATGCTTCCCTTTGGGAGACTCAATTGGGAACTTGGGACTACAGAAACAAGAACATTTCACTATAGAGCTGATTCAAACATGTTGGAGGAAGGAATTCTGTGGTTTGTGTTAGACTGAGATGATGTGTAACTAGCACTGATAACCAGGGATTTGATGTTTCTGATGTATTCTGTTTGGGAATATTTACATGTGTAGAGAGAGATAAATTATAATTAATTATAAAGAGCAACCTCTGTCCATTATGAGGTGTAAGGCTGGACACTTCCTTGTAGGGAGAGGCAGTCACAGAATGGACAAGTGTCACCTCACTTGACAATGACAAGTGTGAGTAAAGATCACTGAGGACAAGCAGGAAACTTCTCTACTTGTCAGAAATACTATTTTCCACTTCTGCAGATCCAGAATATTAATCCATTTATTAATTTATGTCCTCTTCCTCACCTTTCCTTGCATGTGTTTATACATCAGCTGAAGAGCCAGGACCTGACTGCACTCATGCTGGAGCTCCACTATGGTTGAATTTGTTGGTGTGTTTCCACTTTCCACTTAAATACTACATCTACATGAAAGCAGTTCACAACGTATGTATTTCTAAATTAATCTTGTACAACTGGCGAAATTTACTGGCTGCGTGTTTGAATGCATCTCCCATGTACATGTGTGTGTTTTCCTTGGCTGGAAATATCCTGCTCTGCCACCAGCAGAGCATTATCCAAAATGTAAAGAGGAGGAAGGGAKTTCATACCAGCCATAACCACAGCTTCAGACTTCCATGTTGTACCAGTGGCAGCAGACAAGTTAGTTTGATTTCAGGAAAATGTCACTCAAGGACTAATACTGTCTTTCTGCTTCTTCTTTTATTGAGAGAGAAATCTGAAAGCCAATATTTTCTGTTACTGAATCCACACCAACTATTTTTGGTTTTACCAGAACTCTAATTTCTTTGGCTTCTGTGGAGATCAGATTAATGGAGATCAGGTTTTCATTAGAGGAAATAAACCTTGTTAAACTTCCTTTACTTTCTCTTGTGGTATATGTTTGAAAAAGATCCTGGTGGTTGATGGAGTGAGCRTGGTGTGCGGGGTCATTTGTTCTGTGCTAGGCAGTTGTTCAGCTGCATCCCCATGGCATCCCTGTTGCTTCTGTGTTTGAAGAGGACTCCGACAGCTCGTTGCTAGGGAGGGGGCGGGTGGCAAAGAAAAAAGTCTCCGTGTATACCTGGAGTCCTGTAGCCAGCCCCATTTCTCTTTTGGACTTTGATGATTCCCTTTCAGGCCTGCCCTGTAGTTCGCAAGTACACAGAGGCAGCACATGGTACTTAACACTGTCTGCGCTGGCTTGTATTCTCCCGCCTGTGAGAATTGGGGGCATAATCCTGACTTTTCATAAYTGGAGATTTTATCTCGGGCCAAAGTTCCGGGTCTGCAGCGAGTGCCGTAGCTGAGCGCTTTGGCAGGGTGAGCCGCAGATGCCCGCCCTTGCCCGGGTTTCTCCGCTCACGGCAGCTTCCGATTTCGCGGGGCGAAGTCTCGGCCGCCYGAGCCATGGAGGGACACTGGGGCCATGGGACGCGGCCGTGGGGCCGGGGTTGGAGCTGGGGCCGGGCTGCGGAGTGGCTGCCCCGGGTCCCCCACGCCGGGCCGGGCCCGACACCGTGCCCCGCTGGGCCCGGCCCCGGAGCCGCGGCCGTGGACGAGCGGCTGCTCCGGGCTCTGGGGGAGCTGAGCCGCGGGTCCCCTCGGGGCGCTGGTGGCGGGACCCTGGTGCTGCTGCGGGGACTGCCGGGCGCCGGCAAGAGCACCCTGGCTAGGTAAGCTCGTCGTGATGCAGGGAAGTTAGAAGTTACAGGGTAACTTATTAGAAGCTGCTTGCTAGACAGTGTATATTGCTTACTTAACATTGATTGTGTTTGTCAAAGCAGAATGAGAAGTAAAAGATTATTGACAAAAGCAGGGACTGTGACCCAGCCCTTAYGCGTGGAACCCCTGCTCTGGTCAAAACCAGAGTTGTTGTTTTGGACTTGGGCCNRGGACCCAGAGAGCATGYRCAAAAGAGAAAGGTGAAAAGTTCAAGACAAGAGGATGAGTATTTTACTTCCTCCTGGACCCCCCGGAGCCCACTACCAGATAACACGGCGCAGGCGTGAGCGCATGGAAATGACTTTTAAACTCATTATAATACAAAGCGGGGACAGGTCATGCATATGTATAGGCGAATTGCGAAACTCGGTGAATGTGTAACATGTAACCTGATATATACCAARC